AATCTAGTTTGTATCGAGAATCTAGAAATTTTTTTAGTACTAGTTGAAATAAAGATTAGCTTAACCTTTTAATTAACTTTTAGAAATAAATGATGAAATTTTTAAAAAAATTTGCTGCATAGAAAACTACAAGGGGTAATGATAGAGATGTAGAGTCCCAACATTTTACCAAGATAGTCGGCACTAGACTTAGCCAGGCGATAATCCAAGTCGAGTCAATGCATTAGCTATGTTTAACTTTATTTTACAATGCTAATAGGTTTAGCCCAAGCTCAACTCAATTGCTAATAGGTTCAAGACCAAGCTCAACTTTATATACAGTTTGAGTTGGGATAAATTTTAAGCCGAGCAAGATTTTAAAATAGGAAAATTTGATTCTAATAATCCAATATTTGTCCGGTTTTATTTTATTAATCCGACTTTTCGATTATTCACCAATAATCCAAGCTTTGGGAGGTGTTCTATTTTATTAGGCCAAGGTGACCGGTAACCTTTTCTTCAGGTAATTTTTTTTTTATTTTTTATTTTATTTTTTTTTAATTTTTTTTTTTACAATTTTTAACAAAAAAATAAAAAATAAAAAATAAAAAACTTCCCCTGCCAGCCCCTTCCCCGACCACCCCCGCCCCCTGCCATCTTTCTCCTTCCCTTTCCAGTTTCCGACCACCCTCTCTTCTTCCCGTCACCCTTCCCTTTCCAATGATAGCATCTACTTCCGCACTTCCCCTCCTCTTTACCCCCAATGGTAGGCCGACAGACAACCCCTCCTATTTTCTGGGTTTAGAGAGGGGGTTTTAGGAGGTGAGGGGTTTCGCGGTGCCGGAGTTCTCAATTTTAAAGGTTGGGGTTTCTGGGTTAGGGATCGAGTTGGGGGTTTCTACTGGTTCTGGGTTGGGGTTTTTGGGTTAATTGCGATTTTCGGGTTGAGGTTTACCAGTTAATTGGGGTTTCTGGTTGAGGTTTACCAATTAATTGGGGTTTTCGGGTTGAGGTTTACCAGTTAATTGGGGTTTTCTGGTTGAGGTTTACCAATTAATTGGGGTTTTCGGGTTGAGGTTTACCAGTTAATTGGGGTTTTCTGGTTAGGGATTCAAGAAGAGGGAAGGTGGCTGGAGAAGGATAAGAAGGGGGAGGGGCGGTCGGGAAATCGATTTAAGGGACGGGAATGGGATAGGAGGTCGGAAAAGGTTGGGGACCGGTGAGTGGAAGAGGGAGGAGGGCGACCTGCCGGGAAAGGGAGGGAAGGGGGAGGATGGAGGTGGAGGGGAAGAGGCAGCCATTGATGAAGGTGAAGGGGAAGGATGTAGGTGGAAGGAAGGGGAAAAAATAAAAAATAAAATATTTTTATTAATTAAAAGAATTGATTTTTATTTTAAATTTTTGGACGAATCATAGCATGACACGTGGCAAGGTGACTTGCTATTGGAGGTAGGTGACCGGTTTGGCCTTATAGAATTGAATGGGGTATAAAGCTTGGATTATTGGTGAATAATCGAAAGATTGGATTAATAAAGTAAGACCGGGCAAAGATTGGATTATTAGAATCAAATTTTCCTTTAAAACAAAATACTAAGTGATATCCGTTAGGGGTGAGCATAACCGGGTATTCGATTGGATTTTAAGGAACCGGATCCAGACCCGGTTATGACCAGTTCTTGAAATTTGGAACTGGAATTAGACCCAGTTATACCGGGTCTCAAATTTCAGAAACTGGTCGGTACCAGTTCCAAATCCGAGTACTCGGTTCTTTCGCTACTGCTATTTTTTTTAGGAAAAATTCATGGGAATAATCCCACCTTTGGGCCGTTCGTTTTTAATAATCCCACCTTTGAGATATTTTTTAATAATCCAACCTTTAGCCCCAATTCTTTTTTAATGGTCCCGTTTTACCTGAAACCGGTTGAGTAGGTAATTTTTTTAAAAAAAAGATTAATTTACACGTGTCATTACATAATTGGTAAGAAAAACAAAAAAAAAAAAAAAATTAAAAAACCCAAACCCAATTCAGCCACCACCATCCCACCACCACCCATATCCAAACCCTAGAACCACCATCCCCACCAGACCCGAACCCCAAAACCACCCTACCAGCCTCCCCCTCCTTCCCCCGCCCTGATTTCGACCACCCAACACCGACGCCGCTTAACCCCCTCCCTTAAACCACCAACACCCCAGACCCTCCCTTGAAAACCCAGCCAATCCCTCCCCTAAACCACCAACGATTCCAGCCTCCCCCGTCCCCGCGGCTCCGGCCACCCAATCCCCAGCTCCCTTCACTGCACCCTTTCCTCATTCCTTCTCCGAACACCTCGACCCTTCCTTTCCCCTCTCTTCTCGATTTTCGGCTACCCCCCAAACACCTCTTCGATTTTTGGCCACCCACCCAAAAACTTTATCGATTTCCAGCCACCCCACCCACGCAAATCTCAACCTCGAAAAACAAATACCCGGAAAAATTGTTCAAATCTTACCCTCGCAACATCATCTTCATCTTCGCCTTCGCCTTCAACTGTGAGTATGGCTGGATATTGAAAAAGGAGGGTGGAGGGGCAGCAAGTGCGGCAGGGGTAAGGGTGGTCAGAAACTGGACAAGGGAGGGGCAGCAGGTACGCTTGGGTAAAGGGAGGGGTGAGGGTGGTCGGAAACTCGTAAAAGGAGAGGGAGAGGCGGGTCAAGGAGGATGTGGCAGGGAAAGGGAGGGCGGGCCAAGGAGGGGGTGGCTGGGGAAGGAGGAGGGGTATGAGAGTTTTTTTTTTTTTGGTAAAGGTTTTTTTTTAATTGATTTTTTAAATTTTTTTTTTAAATTTAAAAAAATATCTCAAAAGTCGGATTATTAAAAGATATCTCAAAGATGGGATTATTAAAAATGAATGGCCCAAAAGTGGAATTATTCCCATTAATCTTTCCTTTTTTTTTTTTTAATACCCAATTATATTGTAGGTAGAAATTTAGGCAAGTTTGGAACAACTCTAACAAATCAGAATAATTATGATCCAAACACTAAGCAAAATTCAAGTCTGGTAGTTCATAATAAAGATCCAAAAAAAAAAAAAAAAAAAAAAAAAACAATTCACATAAGAATTGTCAACAACTATATAATCAAAATTTATAACTTTTTAATTTAATTGTCACAAAACAAAAGACGACCCCAAAAGAGTGGACAATGCATGTCGAGGATGATGAACAACTGGACGAGGAGAGAGAAAGCAAGGAGATTGAAGAGAAAGAGCCATCAATTTGGATGCCGAATTGCCGATGAAGCTGAAAAAGAGTAAAAGAGGGTGGAGAGTGAAAGAGGAATTGGAGAAATATTTGAAGAAGGCTGACAAAAAGGATATTCCACTACGTATGATACTAGGGTTTTGTGGGCTAATATACAAATGGGCCTAATTTTCTCATGGGCTCTATGCTAAGCTTACCGTAAAAATTCCAATATCGGGTATCCAGTGGGTATAGGGTCCAAACTTTTCGAACCCAGAACTGAAATTGGTTTAACCGGGTCCAATTTTTTGAACTGGATTTGGTCCCAACGGGACCGGTTTCGGGTCAGAGTCGCCGGGTTCTAACTAGTGCCGATTCCAAAACCCCGGTATTATTACTCACCCCTAATATCCGTGGATGTTAGTATATATCCAACAAAATACTTTATCCGTTTCATTATAAAGATAAGTCAATATAACCCTCCGGTATTGACTTTTCCAAGTCGTGCCCCCTCTTTTGAAAGTTACACACTTTAACCTTCAACTTACAATTATGTATCAGTAGTGACCTTGTCGTTGTCCTACCGTTAATGGTCACCGTTAGTGGGGTCCACTTTACATCAATTAATATTTTTTTCTCGATTTGCATGCTGAAAAATGTTTCGTTAAGCCCTATTTTGTCATTATTCTTCTAACTACGGGTATTCGAATTCACAAAACGGGGCTTTTACATATTTTTTTTTTCCCAAATCCGAGCTCAATATGGAACTTTAAGGATCAAAATGACCCTTAAAACCTTCAACGGGACATTTTTTCAGCACACTAATCGAGAAAAAAATTTAATAGGTGTAAAGTGAGCCCCACTAACGGTGACTGTTAATGGTAGGATAACGGCAAGGTCACTATTGATACATAATTGTAAGTTGAAGGTTACAATGTGTAACTTTCAAAAGAAAGGAACACAACTTGGAAAAGTCAATACCAGAGGGTTATAGTGTAGAATTTGGCTTAACATTTTTTACTTAGCTCATGTTCAAGTACTCGAGTCATACCTTGCTGGAAAACATGAAGTACTTCTCAGCACACGGGTGCTATCCATGTTGTGCTTTCACACCAAAGCTTATGTAAACATATACGGAGTACTTCATTAAACATAAAATTAAGGCGAAGGAAAATGCTTTTGAGATCATGCTTGTCTCCAGTGATCGTGATCAGTCTTTATTCAATCAATAAGCACTACTCAGACATGCCCTGTTTAGGCCTCTTAGTTGGTGATAAGAGGAAGACTCCGCTCTTTGTCTCGCAAGTTTTAGCCTTCGAGATGGAGGGTATTCCATGCGTTGCAGCTACTGGACCTGAAGGTAGGCCAAGTACTACTGCAGCCAGAAAGTTCATAAGAGATCATGGGGCAGATGCACTTCCCTTCACAGAGGATCACATAAGAATTTTGAAAGAGAAAATAGAAATGGAAAAAAAGCAGATACAACAATGAGCGCAAAGTCGAGACTTGAAACCAAGGGAGGATATGTCTATGAAGATGTTTGTTGTAAAATCAAGAGATGCGCGTCTTTGCTGGAGTTACTAATCACTGGGGTTCTATGAAATCTCCTTCTTGATGCATGCTGCATTAAGATTTCAATATCATTACAATGTGATGGTCGTTTTTCATGAATGACAAAGGTAACCCAGTGTAAAACTATGACATTCTCACAATTCAACAGACATGTGAATGAGAATGGTTAACTAAACGATCAGTCACCCACAAGTATAGAAAAAAATATAGAGCGCAGAGAGAAAAGCTTCCACAACATTTTTAAAAAAGAAATTAGCCATTCATGCATCCTACAGCAACATCTTGCATTCTTCCAGTTTTAACAATCCGTAGAGAAGTTGTGATATTTCAACACAATACAATAAAACTCTCTGCAAGCGCTCTCAAATTAGGTGACTGTCAAGCACAATTCACTAATTCAGGTAGCAGCGATTTTTAATAACCCTCCCAGCTGCAGCAACCATTGCAGATTAATAATAGCACCTTACTAAACAATGAGCTTATGTGCCCCAAACACTGATCTTAGTGAGAGGAATACCAAAGAATATTTTCTCATAGAATTAAACATCACAAGTCCCTGAAGCTGTAGGACACATCATTAACTTCTCCATCACTTCTTCGTCCAGTCCACGAGAATCAATCATCATTCGCTCCAACACTTCGTCATCATTTCCTGCTAACCATTTAACTCCAATTATCCGGAGATTTTCTGACAAACAAAGAGGAACTTCATCTGGTGGAATCCACACGCATGGTTCACGTTCCTCAAGGTCACTATTCATCATTTCCTGCAAGACTAAGAATTAGCTTCATTTCACCTTCAAATATTAAAAAGGGCAATAGCAACAAGTTAGGATACTGACCAAAACCAAAACAAGAACTTTCAACTTGGGAGCAGAATGGAGCACTCTTGGGAAACAGATCCAACCAAATAATTCATCGGTTAAGTGTATTTCTTACATCGTCAAATTAAAAAATGTGGGCCACGTACAGCTGAGAGCTGATCCGAGAACCTTCACAAAATTATTAAAAAAAAAAAAAATTTACAAAGTAAATACAATCAAACTTAATAACCAATGGTACCAATAATAATCATGCTCTATTGCACATAACAAGTGGAGCTAAGTTAAGAATAGAAATTAAATACTAGGTGCAAAAAGAAAGTATGGAAAGAATCTTACAACTGTAGTGTAAAAATGTAATATCATCAAATCCGTAGCAGCAATCCCATTTAAAAGCTCAAGAAACCTTTTTTTTTGCTTAGGCTTTAAACCTTCAACAGCCAAGGGGTCATACATGATATCAACATGATGAACTTGTGATAGATTTTTCACCACAAATCGAGACAACGAGTTATCCTCTATTTCCAGGTATTCAAGATTGGGTGTATCAATGGTAATATCATACTCATCACCTCTTTTATACTCAAGAAACAGGCTTAGTTTTTTAAGTGGGAACGCATATATCAATATTTCGTACTTTTCCAAAATCTAGGAGGTCAGTAAGGGACAGTTCTTCCAATATTGGACAGGAAGACAAAAGCTGATGCATAACCCTATCCTGATTAGGGAGTATAATTTCGAAACCAAGTGATTTAATATGAGGAAAACAAACTATTGACTTGGGTATGCGTATATCAAAACATGAATCTAGCTTAAGCACTACCAACGTGCTGCAATCAAGAATGCATTCTGGCAGGGGAGGTGCAGGTAAATCTGGAATTTATTTTCGAAAGTAGAGGAATAGCTTTTCAATTTTACAGCTAAGAGCAGCGGAAACCCACGCATTCATACGTGTTAAGCCTATTTCATCTCAACAGGAAAGGTCAATTGAAAAAGAGTTAATAGATTTACAATTGTCAAGCACATGCTCCACAAGGTTTGCAAATCTATCAGGATTAGACTCACCACCCTTTAAGCAAATACTATGAATATCTTTCCAAAGATACTTCCACCTTGAAGACAAAATGCTAGTTCTAATTGCCTCATTTGTTGGAAGGAAAGAAATGATGTGTGCAACTACATGGTCCGGTAAATTACTAAGTATGTCTAATTGTTCGACTTGATTTTCCCTTTCCATCTCACCTTTCCTGCATAAAAGACCGCTTGTACATCAGCTCTTGTCACCAATAAAAATCAATCATGAAAAATACAACTCATCCATTAAATGCTAAAAGTTAAATAAACAATAAGCATCAACATGTTCAAATCCAGTCAAAATGCTCACAAATTAAACCATAACAAGAAGTATCAGTTCTTATTATTAAATCAGCAAAAAAAGAACTATAAATATCAGATGAATTTGCAAGAAATGAAACTCACTATTGAATTCCAACAATATGCTCAAAACAATTTGACAATGGCAACAACAAAATCAGTTATCGGCAATCTATTACGATTCTCATAAGTAGGAACATTTGAGTCTAATAAAATAAAAAAAAGGTGTAAATTTCTTAGATTAACCATGTATTTTGTCAAATACTAGTGAGCAATTTGAAGAATAATATGCCGAACGTAGAAACAAAGTAAATTCATCGAAATGAACATGTTAATTGAACTGGAAAAAATCAAATTAAATAACTTGATTGGATTAATTGTTCCCCAAATCAAAAACCCTGACCTTTTAGACTTAATTTGCATGCATAAAACAAGTAGCAATAACATCAAAAACACAATTGGAAATATGATTAACAGAAAAGAAAAAAAAATAAAATTGAAGAATCATACCTGGGTAATTGATGAATGTAGATGATTTTTACATGAATGAACTTTGAGGTAATTCAGGAGTAAGTGTGAGATGTGCAACTGCATATTTTACTTCTCGAACCAAAAATATTTTTTGATTTCCTGGTAAATCTAAAAAATAGAGAGGTCTCAAAACTCAAAATTGGCCCAGCCCGAAATTTACCGGCTTTGGGCAGATTTTTGGGCTATTCTGGGCTTTTTTTTTTTTTTTGAAAGAACAGTAGCGGCAGCATATTAAGTTACATCAAATTCTACAAGAGTGCTAATCCCCTGCGGTATATTAGAGTTTGAATACATTTTGTATTAAATAGCAAAGTAAGTATTTAAAACTATATATAGAGAAAGCAAGCTACGGTAAAGCCTACAATTAAGGCTAGAATTCAGTAACAACCTAAAATATAATTGACCGTGAATAATAGTCAAAAAAGAATGAAAACAGAGGTCATAATTAAGGAAAGAAGATAACTACAGCTATTAACAAGGAGATATGATTATCTCTTAACATACCCCCGCAAGATGGACGGTCGCAAGACAATACCAATCTTGGAGTATAGGTTGCTGAACCGGGAAATAGCAAGGGGTTTAGTCCAGGCATCTGTTATTAAGGGTTTGGCTGGGTCAGCATGGTTGGGAATGAGAGCTTCGGTATTCATGGTTATGGAGGATTTTTTTTTTTTTTTTTTTTTTTTTTTTTTTTTTTTTTTAAAAAAAAAAAGAGAGTAGTGGGTGGTTTCTCCATAAGAGTTTGGAAAAATAAGTTTATGCTTGACAAGACTAGGTAGATAAACTACGGGTTGTCAAAGATGGTTTTGTTTCTCCATAAAGGGTGTGGAGAAAAAATAAATAAATTGATAGTTAGTTATCCTTGGTAGAGAGACTACATGGTGCCGAATTATGGATTTGTTTCTCCGTAAGGGGTTTGGAGAAAAAAAATGATAGTTGGCTATCCTTGGTAGAGAGACTACTTGGTGCCGAATTATGAATTTGTTTTTCCGTAAGGGATTCAGAGAGAAAAAAAAATTTAATAATTGGCATTCCATGGTAGATAAACTACGTGGTGCCGAATTAAAAATTAGCTTTGCAAGCATTCCATGATAGATAAACTACAGGGTGCCAAAGAGGGATTGTTTCTCCATAAGGAGTTTGGAGCTATCCGAGAGGGAAGTTGAATATGGTCACCATCATTTGTCTGCGTTGACAAAGTGTTTTGATGGTGTAGCCATGATAGTAGCGGAAGCGGAAAAAAAAGTTGGATCAATAGCTCATGATACCATATTAGAGTTTGAATACATTTTGTATTGAATAGCAAAGTAAGTATTTACAACTATATAAAGAGAAAGCAAATAACCTACCAAAGGAAACTAAGCTACGGTAAAGCCTACAATTAAGGCTAGAAATCAGTAACAACCTAAAATATGATTGACCGTGAATAATAGTCAATAAACAATGAAAACAGAGGCTATAATTAAGGAAAGAAGATAACTACAGCTATTAACAAGGAGATATGATTATCTCTTAACACGGTATAGAATCAGCAAAAGCAGAAAATACATGCTCCCTTTCATCAGGATGGACCAACCTAGTAGCAAGGCGTGCTACTGTATTCCCACATCTCTTAATATGTTCACTTGAGAAAAATTCAAACGCAATTGTCTTCTTCTTTCTCAAAAAATCTTAACGTTCTTCCCACGCTTTCCCACTTTCCTTTTTCTTAGTTTTTAGAGGCCACGGGCAAGATGTGGCTAAGCGAGTCCAGCCATGGGTAGGCCTTGGTCCTTTTACCCTACTTGAATAGTAGCTACAACAACGTGAACAACATATTTAAATTTTGAATTAAGTTACATAACAAAAATTTGCTACAAACAAGCAAGGAATTGTCCCAAGTTTATAAAGCATATCCTTCTCGGGTCGAACTCGGTCGGATTTTGCGCAGTGTCCAAGTCCGATCCGTCTCCTATTCGGATTCGCATCTATTTTATCAGATTAATTATTTTTAAACATATTTGGATTGAATTATTTTTTTACAGATTGGGTAGAATTCGAATCGAACTTAGATTGAATTGTTATCCTTATTTTTTAATCTGATGCTCCAACTTGAGTAGGTATTGATATATATTGGATTTTTTAGGAATTTTTTTTGTAATATATTTATGTTAGTCAAAAGATTTGCGATGTTTGATGTAGTTTCCTTAAGAAGTACCTAAGATATAGTTGTTCATACAAATTCTACACAAAGAGATTATTGCATTGGGAACTTCCCCAATTGTGGCTCTTTGCAAGTTTGCATAAGAGCAACCCATTCATACATCAATCTATCATAAGAGCAACCCCGTTCATACTACTATTTTGTGATACTCGAAACTCAGACTAGCATCATGCTATTTATTGTAGTGTTGTCAATTCTCCTAAATGGACTAGAAGGGCATATTTGTACCCAAGTGGATACAACTACTTATTCTACATACCATAAGTTTATAACGATTTACATTACAACAATAATTTATACCCTAGGTTTATTTCATTTTGCTTTTGTTTGTTCTCCTATTGTTTCTTGGTCACTTAATCTTTGGGTAAATATTTCAGCTTGATCGATGACGATCTTCATACTTCTTATAAAAATTAATGATTTTGTAAACTTTACAATCTACATGTGATGTGCATCAATTGCTATTGTAGAAATCGTTTTGATTGAATTTCTTTTGTTTTCTTGGATTTGCTGATTCTGAATCCCACTTTGCCTAATAGGTTTGCAGCATCAACAACCATTTTCTTATGCTATCTGTGTCTAATGACTAATTGACGCTTCCACTAACACTTCTATTTGTCATCGGTTCACCGCTGATTTGCGATTCTTGGATTTAGTAGTGTTGAATTGATCAAGAAGTTTGCTTCTTGTGTCAGTAAATATAGATACACTTCTAATTTTTCTAATATCCTTTCAAAAGAGGAAAAAAAACCAAAACACATGCACATTTTCTTTATTTTCATATATAGGCTTTGCTTATTGTAGACATCTGATTGTGTCTCCCCAAAAGCCAAATCCAGTGATGAGTACCTTTCACTTTTTTTTTTATTATTAAGTTAGGTGAAAAGTTGAAAAGTCTCGTAAATTTTCCTTTAGCCTTGACCATTTCTAACATTTCCTTAAATGTTTTAAACCAAAATCATTCATTTCGTGTCCCCAACATCATTCATTTCATGTCCTCTTTATAAAACATCAAAACCAGTCTATTTTTGTCCATAATCCTGATTCAATTATTTTGTATTTGGATGGGGCTCAAATAGAGTTTTCCAACGATATATTATAAGCCCAAATCCGACTTATAACGAAGAAGTTATGGCCAAAATACTAAGCCGAGCCCGAACCAAGCCTTACCTGCGACCCAATGATCATGTGGAGGACCCATTAACCTTAACCTCATTCCTAAACTAATTAGGATTTATTACAAGCTTCTAGAATCATCCAGAAGGTTTTTTTTCAATCATAAATCAATTAGGATTTATTACAAGCTTCTAGAATCATCCAGAAGGTTGTTTTCAATCCTAAATCCATTAGGATTTATTGTGAGCTTCTAGAAGGTTCTAATTTATCTTGTTTTTGAAAAGATAAAGATTAAGAATTTTTATCGGATAAAACATCTGTTTTTCAATGATCCTAATCCTAGTAAAATTAGAATACGTACGGAAATTTGATTAACCTGGAAATCGGATTCTGTACGAATTCTATCTTTCCAAAACCATCACTGAGCGATAGCACTATCGCGCCGCGACAAAGCTGTCGCGTTGCGATGAGAAGCGTTTTACTCCGATCCGAGTCAGATTCCGACTCTTTTCTAATCCTTCGACCCTCTTTTTTCCTTATAAATAGAGGTCGTTTTACCCTATTTTCAATCATCAACGAGCTTGATCAATCACCAACAATCATCATCTAATCCCTTCTTTAATACTTTCTCTCTCTCTCTTGATTCTTTTCTTAGCCGAGCCTAAACACGTCCTAATACACATCGTCGATACTTTTCCCTAATCAAACACCATACCTCCCTCACGAGCTTCGAATACTCCTAGCCAACCTTGAAGTTGCCTTCGACCTCGTCGTGAAAGCAAGAAGGGTGGAACATTAAAGTGAGTGGATCTACTATCCTTATTTCTAGATTATGATTTCCTAGTATCATGTTAGGATGCTTGATTATGATTCCTAGTATCATGTTAGGATGTTCTTATGATTTCTACACAACAAGAAAACAGCTAAATTCCGACGGAAAAATTCCGTTGGAAACTTCGAAAAATCCGTCGGAAACAGGGCTTCCGACGGAATTCCGTCAGAATAGGTCTGTCGCAAAACCCTTCGTAGGAATCTGGACATTTTCCGAGGAAAATTCCGTCGGAAGCCGGAATTACGACGGAAATTCCGACGGAATGGATTCTGTCGGAGATGGATTTGACTTTAAACGGAAGTCCATCGCAATTTTCCGACGAAATATTTTCCGTCGTAAAAGCCTTCCTTCCGTCGGAATTTTTCATCATATTTAAGCATGAGATGAAGCTTAATTGATAGAAGTAGAGAAGGTTTTAAAGGAACACTCTAAATGGGGGAGGATTGTTGAGTTATTTAGAGTGTTGAAGTGGAGAGCTTGCTCCACTTGTTAGCGCGCTCGTGAAAGGCAGGCGCGATCCGCTCCGAAAGCGCGACAAAATCGCGCTGAGTTTCTGGAAAATCTGGCAGATTTTGGAGGCGCGCCCGCGCCACAGTTTAGCGCGACAAAATCGCGCCAGGTTTCTGGAAAAATTGGAAATTTGGCAAAACGGGGAGGAGCGCCCGCGCACGAAGGTGGCGCGCCCGCGCCTCCTCCCTCTTCTACGGTTTGGCGGTTATTTCCTTTATATTGTATCGGGGCCTTTTTTTTCTATACACTGAAAATTATCTTTCTCTCTGAAATTCTTCCCTCTCTACACCATTATTGAAGAAACTTACAATCTCTTCATTAATCCTCTATCATTTAAGTTAATTGTTTGAGAATTTGATCATCATTCTACACATTTAAGTGCTTAAAGTGTAGAGTTCGTCTATTGTATCTCAAAGCGTATTTCTAGTTCAACCCAAGCACCGTTGTGGGGGAAATTAACGCTTTAGGAAAGTTTTCTCACGCCTTAGACGAGTATCAAGTATCGAAGACTCACGTGGTCCATGGTATTCTCGTGTTCTTGGAAGTTCATTTGGCTTGGAGTGAGGCAAGTATAATTTTTCATACTTGTAGTTTAGTTTGATACTTTGTAACTTTTGCTTTCTAAACTTGTTGGTGTTTGGTTGTTGTTGTAATTGGTATTATATTACATTGTAATTTCAGATTTCTCAAATTCTTAGGATTAGAATTTGTTCTTTATTACAATTTCCTAACAAGGTCTGGCCAAGGGAGCTCATCTTACCAAATTAAAATCCCCAACAACCCTCAACGCAAAATACCAGGTCGGCCAAGCAACAGACCGAGATCCACATCTTTGAACCGTCAGACCTGCCCCCTCGCAGCATTCATCCTATTGGAATTCGGGCAGATGCTGATGGAGGGAAAAAAGATAAGGGAAAGAGGACCTTGGTGCCGGAGGGCATCGTAGTGACCAAACCGGGCCAGGGCTTGGTGGGAGGCAGCTCGGCCGAAGATGCTGAATTGGACAGAGTATTGTCTTCTGATTTCGGTTCGACCATAAACCCCAAACCACAAGCTGCCGAGCAAGAGGCAGAGAACCTGGATGCTGGAATAAGGTCAATTTTAATGACCTGTATGCCTGCCCTATTGGCGATGTAGCCATTGCCTTCCTTCATGACTAATTCGAGAAGTTCAAAGAATTTCTCCAGCTAGGGACAGTACTAGAAAATAGGCTATTTTTGACGGAAAAATTCTGTCAGAAACACCTTAAAATCCGTCGGAAATCACTATTTCGACGGAAAATCCGTCGGAACGTGTTGTCAGAACACCCTTTGTAGGAAAAACGGTTATTTCCGTCGGAACAGTGTTTTCCGACGGAATTTTTTCACCGGAAGAGGTTTTCCGGTACCGGAAAATCCGTCGAAAATTTCCGACCGAATTCAAATCCGCCGGAAAATTCCGAAAGAAATTCCGTCGGAAACAACATAAAAAAAAAACCCCGGCACCACCCCAACCACCCTATCCAGCTACCACTTCCCCACCTTAACCCACCTCACCAGACCCACACCAGCACCCACACTACCCACCAACACCCACACGGCCACACCACCCACCAAACCAGCCCACACCACCCACCAGCACCCACACCACCCACCAAACCAGCCCACA